CAGAGGGGGCGGAGGGAAGAAGCAGAGGGGGTGGAGGGGAGGAGGAAGGAGGCAGAAGAAGCTGTGCCGGAAAAAAGTGAACCAAATAGGCCGATAAGACTTTTGACAGTGTGGTAATATTTAGTGAAATTTTCAAGCATGGGGAAAACTTCCAGAAATGCATCACTTGTGTTAAGATTTTCTGAGTTCCGTACGGAAGTGTCGCAAAATTCTTTTGCTTCATCTCACACCGTTGCCGCTTCTAACATCTCTCCAGTGGCTGTCATGGTCCGAAAGAAAAAAGTTTCAACCACTTCTAGGGAAATTTATCAATGGAAATGGAGAAAAAGTGCATTATCGGATCCGTTTCAGAGAAAGGTAAATATATAGCAATCGATTTGAGCGGTAAAAACTTGCGCATAATGTTACTGACGCTAAAGGGATCTGGCCAGGAGCCCGAGCAGATCAATCACAACTACATTGTTCCTACTGCTGTTATGAAAGGCACAGGCGACCAGGTAAACTCGTGCACAACAGTTCTGTGAATGCAAAAATTGCGATTTTGGTTTAATTTGTTAACCATCAGAGCGAATTTGTTTTGTTGTTGGATCGATGTTAGCCTATCTGGCATGTCAGGAGTTCAAGCTAGAAGCAGCTTGCCCCTCATTCATTAGTAGCCTACTTTTAATCAGCTCTCGGAAAGGGGGAACTGGAATAAAGTAAAAGGCAGTACGGTCCTCAAAGGCCCTCTAAGGGAAAGGGAGGAGTTGTTACCAGGGCCAGGGACGACGGCCCATTCAGCGAAGGGTATCGGCACCAATGGTCGCACCAACCCTAAATGTAATAGGAATAAGCCTAAATGGAAACCCTAAATGTAATAGGAATAAGCCGGGGTTGGACGGCTGAATAAGTCAACGAGCAGTTAGTTGCTTCTGGCGAAGCGCTGTCACACAAGCCATTTCTGAGTACCCTCACTTCTTACGAAATAAATTATGAAAGGGTTCCCGACTTTTGACGTTGTTCTGCTGAATTTTAATTTCCTCGTGCATTTCTGTTTTCCTCCTCTGCATCATTTCAGCTTTTCACGTTCATCGTAAACTGTCTTATGAAGTTCCTGAAAGAAGTGGATCTTCTGAATGCTTCGCTTCCAGTCGGCTTCGTTTTTTCGTACCCATGCGAACTGCTTTCCATACGTTCAGCTCGTTTGCTTTGGTGGACCAAAGGTTTTGATATAAAGGACTGCCTGCAGAAGGATGTTGTCAAACTTCTGGAAGAAGCACTCGAATTGAATATGGTTTGTTCTGGGATCATAATCAAAACCGTTTATGTTTGCTGTAGGCTGGTATGCCTTCGATATGACATATTTATCTACCAAACAGAAAAAATGTGCATGTCATGCTTTTGATTCAAAAAAAGGAACGAAAGAACAAAAAAGCAAGGAAGATAAAATGGCCACTGGTGTATTATGATGATTTCTTCTTGATAGGCAATATGTAGGCCGTGTTACGCATTCTTTTTTGTTTCAGTTAACAAATGTAAAAATCAAAGCTGTCATGAACGATACCGTGGGACAGTTGGCAGCAGCAACGTACAAGTACGGAAACGCGTGTACTGTTGGCGTCGTTATTGGATATGGGCAAGTTTTCAGTTCTTGAAATACGTTATTGGTTTTATGAAATCAATGTACCCCAGTTTAGTGTTAAACTTAGAATGGAATCTGGTTTCTACAGTGACGTAGCTGGAAACTTTTCCAATTACATTCCCCCAATACTATATCGTTTGGTTGACCACCATATCGTTTGGTTGGTCAACCCGCTAGCAGTTGTGATATTCAGTCTTTGTTTTTAAGGGATTCGCAGTTCAACGTTTCTTTTGACTAGGCTTTAGCCGTTTGAACATGACTTTGGTTTGTATTAAGCGGCACCAACAGATCCCGAATGTCACCATTCTTAAACCACAGTGAGATGTTTTCCTAACTAGGTCTATTCTCACCGTTTAGGAGATATTGGACAGTATATGCTCTCTCTCCCTCTCTCTTTCTGTCGCTAGTACCTTTTTATGCATTTTTTGCATCTATTCAATGCAGAAAACGCATATTGATGAGGGGTTGTCTATGTGTCTGTGCGTCTGTATGTGCGTCTGTACCGATTTTTCATCTCAAGACCTATAAAAACTACAA